ATATTTTAATTTATGTTTTAAAAATAAAATATTTAATTTTTTTAATCAATATTTATTAAAATGACATAATTTTAAAATAATATTTTTTTTAATTTTTAAAAAACAAAGTAGATAAGTACAATTTTCATATACATATATAGATTTATTGATAAAGATTTATTGAAATATATGATGCATGCAAAGCAGAATAACTAAAAACAAATGGCCAAATATTGGCTCAGGTTATCAATCGATATTAAAATATATAGTACTATGTAGCAAACTAAAGACATTTAATTAAAGGCTTCGAAGCTTCCCGATGTTGGTTCATCCATACAGCTGACAAGGAAGACGAGGAGATAAGAGGATTTCAAGTGGAGCGGCTTTAAGGTTAGCTATCCCTGAACCTTCTGTCATATCAACCTCTTCATTCCCTGGAACTGCAACCTCAAATCCATGCAGGAAAGTAGCAAGAGTGAGTTGCAAAACGTGAAGAGCAAAAGACACTCCTGGGCACGTTCTTCTCCCACTTCCAAATGGTATCAATTCAAAGCTTTGCCCCCTAACATCAACATCTTTGTGGCTCGTCAGAAACCTTTCGGGTCGAAACTCGTGGGGATCTGACCAGACTCGAGAGTCCCTTTGGATCTTTGATGCATTAACAAAGAGTGTTGTGCCTTTCGGGATGTGGTAGCCACCAACTGTGCAATCTTCCATGGACTCATGGGGCACTAGCAATGGTCCGGCTGGGTATAAACGTAGCGTTTCCTTGATGATGGCATTAAGATAGGTTAGGTTCTTCATATCCGATTCAGCCACTTGCCTCTCTCTACCTATGATGGTGTCTAGTTCATGTTGAGCCTTTTTCAATGCTTCAGGGTTGTTGAGAAGAAGAGAAAGCGCCCATGTTAAAGTAACCGCCGTTGTATCTGAGCCCGCCAATATTAGAGCCTGCAAGAGATATTTATAGCCATTTGTAGCCATTAGAAAATGAAATGGTAAAAGTTAAATAAATTAGCTAGTAATTAGTAGTATCTACCATTCGCAATTATAATTCATTTTGAATGTGAGATTGGGGCATTACAGTGAGAACAGGCAAGAAAAAGAAAAAAAGAAGAAGATGATTTCAAAAATAAGAGAGTTATATGAGATAATATATACCAAGCACGTAGCTTTATTGACTGTATCAGCATCAGTATCTGTGGGCAGCTCTGCCTTGTTGAGAGTTGATAGCATTACATCCATGAAGTCTTCTCCTTCATTTGTCTTTCCGATAGCTCTTTTCTTCTTATGCTCTTCTAACCATCCTTCAACAACAAGGTCAAGCTCTCCAGCCGTCTTCTTCATGGCCTTTTCTTGTCCTCCGATATCCAACCACCTCAGAAATGGAAGTGAATCAGAAATCAAGAACTTGCCGATGAGATCAAAGAATTCTCGTACTGAGGCTTTCCATTGATCCTTCTCTTCATCTTTTTGCGAATAATCCACGTATCGCTTACCAATAACTACCTTGAAAATCATATTCAAGGTGAGGTCACCAAACCATCTCTTCATCTCCAACAAGGCTTTATGGGAACTATCTTTGTTATTCTCCCATGTTTGATGTATTTCTTTTATCCATGTCCTCATCTCGGCCTCTCGAACAGGTTTGAACATCTCGAGCCTGTGGTTTGATAAAAGCTCTAGTGTGGCAACCTTGCGAGCGTGGCGCCAATAGGGACCATAAGGGCTGAAGGCAAACATGGAGTAGTTGTAGCCCAAGATATCCATGGCAATTGATTTGGGACGTGTAGCAAAGGATTTATCGTTGGTAGTGAGGCATTCTTTGGCCATCTCCGAACTACTAACGATCAAAGTGCGATGAACACCCAATTTGATAGTGAAAACAGGACCATACTTGTCAGCCATTTCGCCGAAGATTTTGTGGGGCGGTTTTGGGCCTGCTAATCGGTGGAGGTGGCCAATAATAGGCCAAGTGCCTCCAGCTTGGGGTGGCATTTTCTTGTTTTTGGCATTTCGTTGCCTTGATATCCCCAAGAAACCCCAAAGAAAGAGTAAAAGGGCCAAGATTCCGGTTGCAAGAGTTGTTGAAAATGGATGAAGGAATTCCATGATGTTCTTTTTTTGAGAGGAATATATGTTGATGTATTGGGATCAAATGAACCAACTATTTATAGCAATTAACGGAAAGGATTAAGTTAGATTTGCAACATTAATTTGCATGTGCGGAAGAAAAATATTGTTGTCCAGAAAACTTCAATGCCGAGAACTTCCTTTGCCGATCAAAATAAAAAAACAAATAAGTAAGAAGAAAACTAGGAGGATCGAAAAAGAAACGCAATTTCATACTAGCTGTAAGACGCAACAAGAGTCCAACGTAGGAAAAGTCCGACTATAAAAACTAGCCCGCAGAAGTTGGCAAATTTATGACGAGAAAAAAACAAAATATGAAGCATCATATAAGTGTATCACCTTCTCGTCATGTAACTTTTTTTTACTAATTTCTTAATATATTGAAATCACACTAAATTTTATTTAATTTAGAAGTTTAATCATATAAAATTTTATAAAAAAAATTTTTAAATATATGTCCTTTTATTTATAAAGTTTAAATTTAAAATTTTATTTTAAAAAAATTAAATTTTTTTATTTAAATCTTAATATATTGAAATCACACTAAATTTTATTTAATTTAGAAGTTTAATCATATAAAATTTTATTTAAAAAATTTTTAAATATATGTCCTTTTATTTATAAAGTTTAAATTTAAAATTTTATTTTAAAAAAATTAAATTTTTTTATTTAAATCAATAAATTATTTTTTTTTATCAACCAAAAAAATTTTAATTTAATTTAACAAGCACAAAGAGTGCTCTTGCTCATATATAAAAAATGAAAACCACAACAGAGGAGAGCCAGTCTCCTAAAAACCAGAGATTGACAAAGCTTACATATCACAAACAAAAAGCGTAGGTGCTCAAATACTCCACATTTGAAGACAAAACATCCCCGCCTGTCCATCAACTAGAGGGCACGCGAGCTTTATAGAACTGCTTCCTCAATTTATAAATCAATAAATTATTAATATCACGTAACTCTTTCTTGATTTAA